GGGCCTGCGCAGCACCCCCCCCCCATGGGGCATTCACAGTGCGTCGTCGTCCGTCGTCGTCGTCGTTGTCCCTTGTCCTCGCCGTCGCCGTCGTCGTCCGTCTTCTTCGTCCTCGTCTTCGTCCTCATCCTCGTCCTCGTCGTCGTCGTCGGTGTCGGTCGTCGTCGTCGTCGTCGTCGTCGTCGTCGTCGTCGTTGCGTCGTCGTCGTCGTCTTCGTCATCGTCGTCGTCCGTCGTCGTCGTTGTCGTCGTCGTTGGTCGTCGTCGTCCTCCTCCTCTTCGTCGTCGTCCTCCTCGTCGTCGTCGACCACAGCGGGCCTACGCAGAACCCCCCGTTTCCCCGTGCCCATAGGGCATCCGCAGTGCGTCGTCGTCGTTGCTTTCGTCGTCGCGTTGTCTTCGTCGTTGCCGTCGTAGTCGTCGTCGTCGTCGTCGCCGTCGCCGTCGCCGTCGCCGTCGCCGTCGCCGTCGCCGTCGTCCGTCGTCCGTCGTCCGTCCGTCGTCGTCGACTACACCGGGCTTGCGTAGGACCCCGCTTTTTCCCCATAGCGCATCCGCAGTTCGTCGTCGTCATTGTCGCTGAGCGCAGCTAGGGCATCCGCAGTGCGTCGTCGTCCGTCGTCGTCGTCGTCGTCGTTGTCGTTGTCCTCGTCGCCGCCGCCGCCGCCGTCGTCGTCGTCGTCGCTGTCGTCGTGCAGCGGGCACGCGCAGCACCCCCGCCCACCCGCCCCTCCGCAGTGCGTCGTCGTCCGGCGCGCCGCAGCCGTAGCCGTAGTCGTCGCCGTCATTGTCGTTTTCCGCACCTCCCCGTCTCTTCTTTTTCTTGTTTGCAGCCGTGTCAGCACTGCCCGCCAGCCGAGGTGTTTCTTTCCCCCGCCTCCCTGTTCTCTCCTGTTTGTGGCAAGTTTGGCCGAACCGCACCGCTATATCGGAGACGCTGCTGTCTCCCTCCTCTGTAGCGGCGCCGATTTCGTCGCGCCTGCCGCGCTTGCCGCCATCCTGCAATCGGCCAGGTCGCCGCCGTGGGTTTCAAGTTGGCGGGCGCCCGCCCCCCGCGATTCGCCCTAGCAAATTAAGGAATAATTGTTCTAATCGCTCGCCCGCGGGATTTTTGATTACATAACTGGTTCTCTTCGCCATTCACGTTTCCAGCGCCGAATCACGGCCTTGGCATCGGTCCTGGGTGTGGCCGTGATGCCGTCTCGCGTCCACTGCCATGGCACTTCAGCCCCAGCTGGCCGCTGCGGCGCGTGCATTCTGAAACGTTTTCTGCTTATGGTGCCCTCCTCCTTCTCTGTCCTGTGCGGGTGCGAGGGGAGGCGCAAAATTACATGCGAGGTATTTTGCTTGGGCCCATTGAAAAACGCACTCCTGGCTGGCCGTGTTGGGACTCGGTGCGGCCGGACTTGGCACGCAACTGATGGGTACGAACACAGTTCCTGTTCATTCGACGGCCAGTTGCCGATCAGGGGCCGCTGTCGGCGTTCGACAACATTTGTTGTTGGGCATGGTACCCATGTTTTCCGTGCCCATTTTGGGCGTCCAAATATAATTTGTTCAGGTCGGTGCGACAAGAGTACCCCAGCATTTCAGGTGGACTGAGGTTGCGCTGTCTCCACGATGCGGGCCTGACTGTAAGCGTCAGCCGTAATGTAGACTCGTAGCAACCAAAACTTTCTTGCTGGCTTGCCACTGCCACCGTCGGCGCCGGTGCGGTGTTCGGTTGGTGCTTTCGGGTGCAACATTTCGAGGCTGGAGTTTACACACCGTCGCCGCCTTGGGGTCCGATCTTCCCGGACCTCGTGCGGTTACATATATGGATTCGCTTGGGCCTCGGGGGGGGCAGAACGAATCCATACCCGCAGCCTCCCGACGTTTGCGAAGAATGATTACCCAGGTTGTGCATGTGCATGTGTTATGTTCTAGTCTCGCATGGATCGGTTAGTCGCGACCATTCACGTCAGGCAGGGTCTCTCCTGGTTAGGGGGAGAGAGCTCCCGTGCGAAGCTGTCGAAGCCAGGCCCATGCTCATGTGTTTTGTCTGTCTCTCCCCTTCCGCCGCTCTTACTGCCCAGGGCCCAGTTCGACCCAGTCGATCCGATTCGGTCTCGAGTTCGGTTCGATCGGTCGGACTCGATTCCGACATTATGGTGATCCGATGCGGCCCAGTTTTCGCACGGCGTTGTTGTGCATATTGGCGCGGCCGATACATACAATTTGGTTGCGACCGAGCTCGCGGCTGTGTGCGGGGAGGGGGGTGGGTGGGTGGGTGACTCTTAGACAAGTCCTGACGTTTTGCGTATCCGCACCAGCTGGCGGCAGCTCTGGCGGCCGTTAGTTCGCGCGCTTGGGTAATTAGGTTTGGCTTGTAGCCCGGCTGACTTCGGACGCCGCTTGCGTTTCCGGTTGCGGCCGCGACGGACAAAAATCCGCACCAGCCCATCCAGACACGGTCGGATGTTGTTCAAGGCCTCTTGGAGGTATCTTGGGCCATATTCAGCTATGTTGGGCCATTATGAGGCTGCCTTGAGGCCTCTTGGAGGTGTGTCGAGGCTATCTTCAGCCTCCTGGGACCATATTTAGGGTAGGAGGAGGAAGAGGAGGAGGAGGAGGAGGAGGAGGAGGAGGAAGAGGAGGAGGAGGAAGACGAGGAGGACAACGAGAGAAAGGGGAGTCGGGGGAAGAGCTGGTGGAGGAGGAGGAGGAGGAGGAGGAATGCGGTCCGAGGAGGAGGAGGAGGAGGAGGAGGAGGAGGAGGACGAGGATCAGCAGGAGGAGGAGGAGGGGGGCAGGAAAAAAGGAGAGACGGAACGGACGATGACAATGAGGATGAGAGGTTAGGCTTTCGAGGTATGGTGGTGCTAGAGGTTCTAGAAGGACGACGGGGGCCATCTCAGGGGCTCTCTCGGGGTTCCCGGGTGGCCTCTTGGGGCGCTCGGGGTCCTCCTGGGGCTCGTTCTGTGGGTCAAGGGGCCCTCTTTGGGGTTCCCTGGATGGGTCTGGGAGGCTTCTTGGGCTCAATGGCTCAAGAAGAGAAGGGGGGGTATCAACTCGCTCCCCCCCCCTTCTAGGAGGCTCAAACATAGCGTCTTGGGGTCCTCTGGTGCCGCTCCCGCTCTTGGAGCGCTCCTGGGGCCCCCATTGGGCCCCTCTTGGGCCCCTCCTTGGGCCCTCGTAGGGCCTGACATGCCCATCGGAAGCGAAGCGGCGAGAAGGCAGACCCACACGTCGGAGGGCTCGGCGGGCATTGGAAACCGTCTTGGGGCCATCTTGAGGCCTGTCGGATGTCTGTCGGAGGCTGTTTTGAGCCAGACCGACCCATCTCGGAGACCATATTGGACTCGCGGAGACCCTCCTGGAGCCATCTCGGACCACACAGCACCCTCTGATTCATCGGCTCCACCCCACCCTTCCGGGCCCAGGGGACGAGGAGGGGAGGGGCAGGGGAGGGGTAAACCTCTCCACCGAGGAGGGGAAATAGTGTTTTTTTTGCAGAGAAGACACAAGCTCGCTAAACCTCTTAGACCAAGAGGGCTGGTGGGATCTCAGAAACCCTACCAGATAGCGCTTGACATTCTAGTACGCCTCAATGTGCCTTGGGGCACGCTGGCGGATGACGGGAAGCGTCTTCGAGGTACGAGAAGCAAGCGGGACGTTCTGGCTGAATCCTTGAGTAAATATATATATATATATATATATATATCTTTAACTATATGGGTTGCGCGGCCGCACGGGATCATTCGTTGGCGGATGACGGGAAGCGTCTTCGAGGTACGAGAAGCAAGCGGGACGTTCTGGCTGAATCCTTGAGTAAATATATATATATATATATCTTTATATCTATGGGTTGCGCGGCTGCACGGGATCATTCATTGGCGGATGACGGGAAGCGTCTTCGAGGTACGAGAAGCAAGCGGGACGTTCTGGCTGAATCCTTGAGTAAATATATATATATATATATATATATCTTTATATCTATGGGTTGCGGCGCCGCACGGGAGTTTTCGTTGGCGGATTCCCCAAAATGGCCATTTCGCTCGAGACATCCTCGAAAAATCGAGGTGTTGGAGGCTATCGTTTAAGACGTCTTATGTTAAAAATGACGGTTTCGCTCGAGACATCCTCAAAAAATCGGGATGTTGAAAAATATCAAAAATTTTTGTTATGCATGAAAAATGAGCGTTTCGCTCGAGACATCCTCGAAAAAATGAGATGCCGACAGAGGTGTTTTAGAACCTCTTATGTTAAAAATGACGTTTTCGCTCGGGACGTCCTCAGAAAATGAGCAGGTGGTCTGCCGTGCTCCTGTGTGGAGCACGGCAGACCACGGCCATTTCGCTCGAGACATCCTCAAAAAATCGAGGTGTGGTCTGCCGTGCTCCTGTGTGGTCTGCCGTGCTCCTGTGGTCTGCCGTGCTCCCCACAGGAGCACGGCAGACCGCGCGTAGGAACCGAGAGGAGCACGGCAGACCAAGACGAGGAGCACGGCAGACCAGGCTTAGGAACCGAGAGGAGCACGGCAGACCAAGACGAGGAGCACGGCAGACCAGGCACCAAGAGCGCCCTCAAGACGACGGAAAGGATGACCAAGACGAGGAGCACGGCAGACCAAGACGAGGAGCACGGCAGACTATGCCCTAAGAGTGCCCTCAAGACGGCCGAACAACGGCAGACCCCATAGGAGCACGGCAGACCACAGAAGAGCACGGCAGACCAACAGGAGCACGGCAGACCACACAAGAGCACTTTTAGCCTTCATAGGCCCCGCAGCTCACAGCTCACACAAGAGCACGGCAGGCCACACAGGAGCACGGCAGACCACACAGGAGCACGGCAGACCACAAAGGAGCACGGCAGACCACACAAGAGCACGGCAGACCCCACAAGAGCACGGCAGACCCCACAGGAGCACGGCAGACCCCACAGGAGCACGGCAGAGCAGACCCAAAAGGAGCACGGCAGACCACACAGGAGCAAGGCAAACCACAGGAGCACGGCTTCCGTAGCCATTTTGGCTCAAGCCTGGTCGGGCGCGCGCGCGCGCGGGCTCGAGTTCGATGGCGACGGGGAGACGGCCAGATGATCGGCTGTCTGGAGGGCATCGGCGGGCGCCGCGCGAGCGCCGTCAGGCTCAGCGTTGGGCCGCCCTCTCACGTGAGAGATTGGCGCAGAGGCAGGCAGCGCAGCTCCTGGAGCTGCAGGGCCTGGCCGAGGCGCCTCCGAGCATCCTGCGCCGCCTGGCGCTCGTTGCGCCCGTGCTTATCGCGCAGGAGAAGGGCGAGCAGCTCCAGGAGGGCAGGATACTAGAGCGGAACGTCGGCTGCCACGCGCAGAACCTCCCGCGGCCTGGAGCTCCGCGGCGCGCCTGGCGGATCGCCCAGCGCGGCCCGCGGCTCCCGCGCCCGCGGTCGCTCCTGTCTGAGTCGAGGGATTTCCCGACTGGCTCGGCGGTCTCGCACGTCGCCGACGTCGAGGCCGCCCTTCTGGCGGATTCCGCTGCCCGCGCCGCCGTGCACGCGGAGAGCGAGGGCCACGTGCAGCCTAGCGAGTACGTGGACACGCTGCGGCGCGATGCCGACCTCTTCTGGCCGCTTCGGCCCCCGGGACGCTGGGACGACGGCGGAGTGGTGAAGAGCGGCACCGAGGAGGTCGGCACGGGACGCACGCCGCTGAGGTCGTCTGCTGAGCCTTTCCTGCTGTCGGGCAGCGGCAGCCAGCGACGGAGCGACGAAGGCGTTTTGTGCTCTTGTGGAGCAGTTCTGTTCTCTTCCTGCCGTGCCGCCGCTGGTATTGTGGGTATTGTGCAGGCGGATGATGTGTGCCCTGGAGGTACTGCAGGCCGTGCGCCGCTGCCTCCCGCATCCGATGCTGACGGTGGTGCCACTGCTGGTGTGCCAGGCGCGTCTTGCGATGGCTCAGACGTCGACGACGTTACCCTGGACGGCGAGGCCGACGCGGACACCTCGTGCTCGGACCACACAAGCGACGGCGGGAGCGAGGGCGGCGGCGACGGGGACGACGGCGGCGCCTTCGGGGACCATGCCGTGCCCGCGGCTGGCGAGTCCTCGCCGCTGCTGTTGTCCGTCAGTGGCCGTCTGGGCGAGGCCGTCAGCCACAACGACAGCGACGACGACAGCGTAGGCGGCCAGGGGCAGGAGCATGCCGACGGCGATGCTGCTACTGCCTGCTCCGCCACCGCTGCGTCGGCGCTCAGTGGAGCGATCGCGACCTACCTCGGCGTGAACGAAGCCGCACTCCTCCGTGGAGACGGAGACGGCGGTCGAACTGCCGCGGGATTCGCTGAGCTGGCCGTGCCGACCGAGGACGCTGAGGGCGAAGTGCGGCGATGGCTCGCCGACTGGTCAAAGGTGGCTCACATTTGCTCCCTGCAGGAGCAGCTGGGGGCTGCTAAGAAGGAAGTGCAGCTCCTGCGCTGGAAGGCAGGGTGGCTGGAGATTGACTCCGTCGGGGTGAGGTGCAGGGCAGGCCTGCCGTTCGTCCTCCAAGAGTCTGGGGGCCGCCTCGCCTGGCATGAGTTCTAGGAGCGGGGGCAGGGACTTCGGCGAGGCCCGTTGTGTGTTTCAGCCCCCACGTGAGGTCAGGCCCGTTTGGCTTTGCAATGCGTGTGCTGGCCTCACCTCGAGGTTCGTGAGGCCCTTCGTCACTTGTTGAGAAGGTGGGCCTCGCGTCTCATTTGCAGCGAGGCAGACTTCCTGGCCGTGCTTTGCGTGCCTCAGTCTCCGCTGCTGTCTTGATTTCTTTGAAATCTTGCGCTTCGCGCGTTTGGCGCTTCGCGCCCTCCCCTGCGGAGGCTCCTTCGGGGCCCCTAGGGTTGGCCCTTGAGGCCCTGGGGCCAACGGGCTCCGTGGGCCTCGGGCTCCTTTTAGCCTTCATAGGCCCCGCAGCTCACAGCTCACAGGAGCACGGCAGACCACACAGGAGCACGGCAGACCCCACAGTAGCAAGGCAGACCCCAAAGGAGCACGGCAGACCACCGGAGCACGGCAGACCACACAGGAGTACGGCAGACCCCACATGAGCACGGCAAATCCCAAATGAGCACGGCAGACCACAAGAGCACGGCAGACCACACAGGAGCACGGCAGACTCCACAGGAGCACGGCAGACCACAAAGGAGCACGGCAGACCACACAGGAGCCCGGCAGACGCCACAGGAGCACGGCAGACGCCACAGGAGCACGGCGGAACCCACAGGAGCACGGCAGACCGCGCGCGGGTACAACATAAACGCGCCTTTTTGTTGTACCCCGAACGCCGCTGGCGTTTCCCCAACAGGAGCACGGCAGATCTCACAGGCGCGCGGCAGACCCCAAATGAGCACGGCCGACCACAGGAGCACGGCAGACCCCAAATGAGTACGGCAGACCCCAAAAGAGCACCGTAGACGCCTCAGGAGCACGGCTGACCACACAGGAGCACGGCAGCCTGGGCCGGTTCCGGCGCCGGCCGGCGCCGGAAAATTGAATTCCGAGGCGGTGCCGAAAAAAGGCCACTCCAAGACATATTTTTCTTTCGAAAATATTGATTTTCTGCTCCCGGCGCCCGGGAACCCCTTCCGGGCCGCTTCTGGCACCCGGGCCGGCGCTCGAGCCAAACGCCCGGGCCAGCACCCGGGCCAGCGCCCGGGCCGGTTCCGGCGCCGGCCGGCGCCGGAAAATTGAATTCCGAGGCGGTGCCGAAAAAAGGCCACTCCAAGACATATTTTTCTTTCGAAAATATTGATTTTCTGCTCCCGGCGCCCGGGAACCCCTTCCGGGCCGCTTCCGGCACCCGGGCCGGCGCTCGAGCCGAACGCCTGGGCCAGCACCCGGGCCAGCGCCCGGGCCGGTTCCGGCGCCGGCCGGCGCCGGAAAATTGAATTCCGAGGCGGTGCGGAAAAAAGGCCACTCCAAGACATATTTTTCTTTCGAAAATATTGATTTTCTGCTCCCGGCGCCCTGGAACCCCTTCCGGGCCGATTCCGGCACCCAGGCCGGCGCTCGAACCGAACGCCCGGGCCGGCACCTGGGCTGGCGGCCGACGCGCGATGCGCTGCCACAAGCCAGCTTCCCGCAAGATCGGTCCAGAGTGGGAGGGGACGGAGCTGGGCGGGTGAAGGACCACCAGAGCACTGCTCCAGCCTTCCCTCAGCCCTGGGTCTGCTGACCACACAGGAGCACGGCAGACCACACAGGAGCGCGGCAAACCACAAAGGAGCAAGGCAGACCCCAAATGAGCACGGCAGTCCACACGTTCGCACGGCAGACCGCACAGGAGCACGGCAGACCGCACATGAGCACGGCAGACCAAGAAGGAGCACGGCAGACCACACAGGAGCACGGCAGACCACACAGGAGCACGGCAGACCACACAGGACACGGCAGACCCCACGGGAGCACGGCAGACCACACAGGAGCACGGCAAACCACACAAGAGCACGGCAGACCATACAGGAACACGCCAGACCACACAGGAGCACGGCAGACCACACGTTCGCACGGCAAACTCCACAGGAGCACGGCAGACCCCAAAGGAGCACGGCAGACCACAGGAGCACGGAAGACCGCACAGGAGCACGGCAGACCACACAGGAGCACGGCAAACCAAGAAGGAGCACGGCAGACCACAGGAGCACCGCAGACGCCACAGAAGCACGGCAGATCGTCGTCGTCGTCATCGTCGTCGTCGTCGTCTTCGTCAATAACGATCTCGAAAATTACGACAAAAAACGATGACAGAAAACGACCACAAACATAACACAAAAACCAACCGAACACGGAATCCAACAACAAAAAAACAATCAGAAAAACGACCGCAATCATAAAATGATAACGACGGCGACAGCGAGAACGGCAACAGCGGACGATTATAATGAAAACGACGACCACGACAAAGGAAAGGCACGCGACGACGACGACGGACAAACAAAAGACAAGACAGGCTGGAACAGAAAAAGTAGGCTGGGCGACAACGGGTGGGGGCCCGCGTGGCCGAGAGAAAAGCACGGTGTCGACACCATGATGTGGCCAGGGCAGCAGACTACCTCGACAGACCAGCGCGGCAGGCCACCATTTAGTCTGTTCTGTTGCGTTTATGGGTTTCTCTGACGTTCTCGCCAATACGGTCTCTGACGCACGTGGTGGATAAAAAACGGCGCTTCCCGTTCTTGTCCGGTCAGGTTCCCCAAAATGGCCATTTCGCTCGAGACATCCTCGAAAAATTGAGGTGTTGGAGGCTATCGTTTAAGACGTCTTATGTTAAAAATGGCCGTTTCGCTCGAGACATCCTCAGAAAGTCGGGGTGTTGAAAAATGTCAAAAATTTTTGTTGTGCATGAAAAATGAGCGTTTCGCTCGAGACATCCTCGAAAAAATGAAATGCCGACAGAGGTGTTTTACAACCTCTTATGTTAAAAATGACGTTTTCGCTAGGGACGTCCTCAGAAAATGAGCAGGTGGTCTGCCGTGCTCCCTGTGTGGAGCACGGCAGACCATGGCCATTTCGCTCGAGACATCCTCAAAAAATCGAGGTGTGGTCTGCCGTGCTCCTGTGTGGTCTGCCGTGCTCCTGTGGTCTGCCGTGCTCCCACGGCAGACCACGGCCATTTCGCTCGAGACATCCTCAAAAAATCGAGGTGTGGTCTGCCGTGCTCCTGTGTGTGTGTGTGTGGTGGGGCCTGTAAAGGCTGGAAAAAAGGTGAGCCCGAGGCACTCAGGAGCCTCCAGGGCCAGCAGGAGGGGGCCGCTTCGGGCCGCCCTCCCCGAGGGGCCGCTTCGGGCCAACCTCCAGCACACCCTCACGAGGGGCCGCTTCGGGCCTCCCCGAGGGCAGGCCGCCAGCTGCCGTGCTCCTGTGGTCTGCCGTGCTCCCCACAGGAGCACGGCAGACCGCGCGTAGGAACCGAGAGGGGCACGGCAGACCAAGACGAGGAGCACGGCAGACCAGGCTTAGGAACCGAGAGGAGCACGGCAGACCAAGACGAGGAACACGGCAGACCAGGCACCAAGAGCGCCCTCAAGACGACGGAAAGGATGACCAAGACGAGGAGCACGGCAGACCAAGACGAGGAGCACGGCAGACTATGCCCTAAGAGTGCCCTCAAGACGGCCGAACAACGGCAGACCCCATAGGAGCACGGCAGACCACAGAAGAGCACGGCAGACCAACAGGAGCACGGCAGACCACACAAGAGCACGGCAGGCCACACAGGAGCACGGCAGACCACACAGGAGCACGGCAGACCACAAAGGAGCACGGCAGACCACACAAGAGCACGGCAGACCCCACAAGAGCACGGCAGACCCCACAGGAGCACGGCAGACCCCACAGGAGCACGGCAGAGCAGACCCAAAAGGAGCACGGCAGACCACACAGGAGCAAGGCAAACCACAGGAGCACGGCAGACCACACAGGAGCACGGCAGACCCCACAGTAGCAAGGCAGACCCCAAAGGAGCACGGCAGACCACCGGAGCACGGCAGACCACACAGGAGTACGGCAGACCCCACATGAGCACGGCAAATCCCAAATGAGCACGGCAGACCACAAGAGCACGGCAGACCACACAGGAGCACGGCAGACTCCACAGGAGCACGGCAGACCACAAAGGAGCACGGCAGACCACACAGGAGCCCGGCAGACGCCACAGGAGCACGGCAGACGCCACAGGAGCACGGCGGAACCCACAGGAGCACGGCAGACCGCGCGCGGGTACAACATAAACGCGCCTTTTTGTTGTACCCCGAACGCCGCTGGCGTTTCCCCAACAGGAGCACGGCAGATCTCACAGGCGCGCGGCAGACCCCAAATGAGCACGGCCGACCACAGGAGCACGGCAGACCCCAAATGAGTACGGCAGACCCCAAAAGAGCACCGTAGACGCCTCAGGAGCACGGCTGACCACACAGGAGCACGGCAGCCTGGGCCGGTTCCGGCGCCGGCCGGCGCCGGAAAATTGAATTCCGAGGCGGTGCCGAAAAAAGGCCACTCCAAGACATATTTTTCTTTCGAAAATATTGATTTTCTGCTCCCGGCGCCCGGGAACCCCTTCCGGGCCGCTTCTGGCACCCGGGCCGGCGCTCGAGCCAAACGCCCGGGCCAGCACCCGGGCCAGCGCCCGGGCCGGTTCCGGCGCCGGCCGGCGCCGGAAAATTGAATTCCGAGGCGGTGCCGAAAAAAGGCCACTCCAAAACATATTTTTCTTTCGAAAATATTGATTTTCTGCTCCCGGCGCCCGGGAACCCCTTCCGGGCCGCTTCCGGCACCCGGGCCGGCGCTCGAGCCGAACGCCTGGGCCAGCACCCGGGCCAGCGCCCGGGCCGGTTCCGGCGCCGGAAAATTGAATTCCGAGGCGGTGCGGAAAAAAGGCCACTCCAAGACATATTTTTCTTTCGAAAATATTGACTGCTGGCGCCCTGGAACCCCTTCCGGGCCGATTCCGGCACCCAGGCCGGCGCTCGAACCGAACGCCCGGGCCGGCACCTGGGCTGGCGGCCGACGCGCGATGCGCTGCCACAAGCCAGCTTCCCGCAAGATCGGTCCAGAGTGGGAGGGGACGGAGCTGGGCGGGTGAAGGACCACCAGAGCACTGCTCCAGCCTTCCCTCAGCCCTGGGTCTGCTGACCACACAGGAGCACGGCAGACCACACAGGAGCGCGGCAAACCACAAAGGAGCAAGGCAGACCCCAAATGAGCACGGCAGTCCACACGTTCGCACGGCAGACCGCACAGGAGCACGGCAGACCGCACATGAGCACGGCAGACGGCAGGAGTCACAGGACGGCAGACCGCACAGGAGCACGGCACCGCACATGAGCACGGCAGACCAAGAAGGAGCACGGCAGACCACACAGGAGCACGGCAGACCACACAGGAGCACGGCAGACCACACAGGACACGGCAGACCCCACGGGAGCACGGCAGACCACACAGGAGCACGGCAAACCACACAAGAGCACGGCAGACCATACAGGAGCACGCCAGACCACACAGGAGCACGGCAGACCACACGTTCGCACGGCAAACTCCACAGGAGCACGGCAGACCCCAAAGGAGCACGGCAGACCACAGGAGCACGGAAGACCGCACAGGAGCACGGCAGACCACACAGGAGCACGGCAAACCAAGAAGGAGCACGGCAGACCACAGGAGCACCGCAGACGCCACAGAAGCACGGCAGATCGTCGTCGTCGTCATCGTCGTCGTCGTCGTCTTCGTCAATAACGATCTCGAAAATTACGACAAAAAACGATGACAGAAAACGACCACAAACATAACACAAAAACCAACCGAACACGGAATCCAACAACAAAAAAACAATCAGAAAAACGACCGCAATCATAAAATGATAACGACGGCGACAGCGAGAACGGCAACAGCGGACGATTATAATGAAAACGACGACCACGACAAAGGAAAGGCACGCGACGACGACGACGGACAAACAAAAGACAAGACAGGCTGGAACAGAAAAAGTAGGCTGGGCGACAACGGGTGGGGGCCCGCGTGGCCGAGAGAAAAGCACGGTGTCGACACCATGATGTGGCCAGGGCAGCAGACTACCTCGACAGACCAGCGCGGCAGGCCACCATTTAGTCTGTTCTGTTGCGTTTATGGGTTTCTCTGACGTTCTCGCCAATACGGTCTCTGACGCACGTGGTGGATAAAAAACGGCGCTTCCCGTTCTTGTCCGGTCAGGTTCCCCAAAATGGCCATTTCGCTCGAGACATCCTCGAAAAATCGAGGTGTTGGAGGCTATCGTTTAAGACGTCTTATGTTAAAAATGACGGTTTCGCTCGAGACATCCTCAAAACATCGGGATGTTGAAAAATATCAAAAATTTTTGTTATGCATGAAAAATGAGCGTTTCGCTCGAGACATCCTCGAAAAAATGAGATGCCGACAGAGGTGTTTTACAACCTCTTATGTTAAAAATGACGTTTTCGCTCGGGACGTCCTCAGAAAATGAGCAGGAGCACGGCAGGCGGAAAAAAAGGAGCACGGCAGACCACACAGGAGCACGGCAGACCCCACAAGAGCACGGCAGACCACAAAGGAGCACGGCAGACCAAAGAGACGACACAAGGAGCACAGCAGATCCCGCAGGAGCACGGCAGACACCACACGAGCACGGCAGATCCCAAATGAGCACGGCAGACCACAGAAGCACTGCAGACCACACAAGAGCACCGCAGACCTCACAGGAGCACGGCAGACCCCACAGGAGCACGGCAGACCCCACAGGAGCACGGCAAACCACAAAGGAGCACGGCAGACCACAGGAGCACGGCAAACCACACAGGAGCACGGCAGACCACACAGGAGCACGGCAATCCCCACAGGAGCACGGCAGACCGCGCGCAGGTACAACATAAACGCGCCTTTTGTTGTACCCCGAACGCCGCTGGCGTTTCCCCCACAGGAGCACGGCAGACCCCACAAGCTCGCGGGAAACCCCAAATGAGCACGGCAGACCACAGGAGCACGGCAGACCACACAGGAGCACGGCAGACGCCACAGGAGCACGGCAGACCGCGCAGGAGCACGGCCGGCGCCGGAAAATTGAATTCCGAGGCGGTGCCGAAAAAAGGCCACTCCAAGACATATTTTTCTTTCGAAAATATTGATTTTCTCCTCCCGGCGCCCTGGAACCCCTTCCGGGCCGATTCCGGCACCCGGGCCGGCGCTCGAGCCAAACGCCCGGGCCGGCACCCGGGCCAGCGCCCGGGCCGGTTCCGGCGCCGGCCGGCGCCGGAAAATTGAATTCCGAGGCGGTGCCGAAAAAAGGCCACTCCAAGACACATTTTTCTTTCGAAAATATTGATTTTCTGCTCCCGGCGCCCGGGAACCCCTTCCGGGCCGCTTCTGGCACCCGGGCCGGCGCTCGAGCCAAACGCCCGGGCCAGCACCCGGGCCAGCGCCCGGGCCGGTTCCGGCGCCGGCCGGCGCCGGAAAATTGAATTCCGAGGCGGTGCCGAAAAAAGGCCACTCCAAGACATATTTTTCTTTCGAAAATATTGATTTTCTGCTCCCGGCGCCCGGGAACCCCTTCCGGGCCGCTTCCGGCACCCGGGCCGGCGCTCGAGCCGAACGCCTGGGCCAGCACCCGGGCCAGCGCCCGGGCCGGTTCCGGCGCCGGCCGGCGCCGGAAAATTGAATTCCGAGGCGGTGCGGAAAAAAGGCCACTCCAAGACATATTTTTCTTTCGAAAATATTGATTTTCTGCTCCCGGCGCCCTGGAACCCCTTCCGGGCCGATTCCGGCACCCAGGCCGGCGCTCGAACCGAACGCCCGGGCCGGCACCTGGGCTGGCGGCCGAGCCGGATCCAGCGCTGGCGTCGGCTCTGGCCGTCGCCGGAAAAATTGAATTCCGAGGCCGCGCTAACAAAACTCATCCAAACAGATTTTTCGAAAGTGCATCATTTCTGCTCCCGGCGCTCGGAGGCTTCTGCGTCTCAAGGAGAGGTGGAGCAGACATTAAAGGAGGTAAAAGCAAGCACACGAACGCTATGGACGCGCGATGCGCTGCCACAAGCCAGCTTCCCGCAAGATCGGTCCAGAGTGGGAGGGGACGGAGCTGGGCGGGTGATGGACCACCAGAGCACTGCTCCAGCCTTCCCTCAGCCCTGGGTCTGCTGACCACACAGGAGCACGGCAGACCACACAGGAGCGCGGCAAACCACAAAGGAGCAAGGTCCGTAGCCATTTTGGCTCAGCCAGGTCGGGCGCGCGCGCGCGCGGGCTCGAGTTCGATGGCGACGGGGAGACGGCCAGATGTTCGGCTGTCTGGAGGGCTTCGGCGTGCGCCGCGCGAGCGCCGCAAGGCTCAGCGTTGGGCCGCCCTCTCACGTGAGAGATTGGCGCAGAGGCAGGCAGCGCAACTCCTGGAGCTGCAGGGCCTGGCCGAGGCGCCTCCGAGCATCCTGCGCCGCCTGGCGCTCGTTGCGCCCGTGCTTATCGCGCAGGAGAAGGGCGAGCAGCTACAGGAGGGCAGGATTCTAGAGCGGAACGTCGGCTGCCACGCGCAGGACCTCCCGCGGCCTGGAGCTCCGCGGCGCGCCTGGCGGATCGCCCAGCGCGGCCCGCGGCTCCCGCGCCCGCGGTCGCTTCTGCCTGAGTCGAGGGAGTTCCCGACTGGCTCGGCGGTCTCGCACGTCGCTGACGTCGAGGCCGCCCTCATGGCGGACACCGCTGCCTGCGCCGCCGTGCACGCGGAGAGCGAGGGCCACGTGGAGCCTAGCGAGTACGTGGACACGCTGCGGTGCGATGCCGACCCCTTCTGGCCGCTTCGGCCCCCGGGGCGCTGGGACGACGGCGGAGAGGTGATGAGCGGCACCGAGGAGGTCGGCGCAGGACGCACGCCGCGGAGGTCAGCTGCCGAGCCTGTCCTGGTGTCGGGCAGCGTCTGCCAGCGACGGAGCGACGAAGGCGTTTTGTGCTCTTGTGGCGCTGTTTTGTTCTCCTCCTGCCGTGCCGCCGCTGGTATTGTGGGTATTGTGCAGGCGGATGATGTGAGCCCTGGAGGTACTGCAGGCCGTGCGCCGCTGCCTCCCGCTACTGCTGCCGACGGTGGTGCCACTGCTGGTGTGCCAGGCGCGTCTTGCGACGGCTCCGACGTCGACGACGTTACCCTGGACGGTGAGGCCGACGCGGACACCTCGTGCTCGGTCGGCGAGCCGCCAGGTGCCGACCATGCCGGTACTGCTGCTGCAGCCGCCGCGTACCTCGCCGCCTTCCCGCAGGCCCTCTTCAGCGGGGGCGATGGCGGCTGGGGCCGCTGCGAGGTCGCGGCAGGGGACTGGTGGCGTGCGAGGGCCGTTGTTGCCCGCGTGTGGCTCACCACAGGTGCGGCGACGGTGCAGGAGTGCGGAGCTGCTGGATCTGCCGCCCCGCCGCCGCCGCTGCCTGACGATCTCTTGCGGACCGAGGGCCCGATGTCGGGGCGTGCCGCAGGCGCTGTGGCGCCGCCGCGGCTGCGGAGGGTCCGCTTCGCAGATGCCCCGTGCGTGCTCGACATTGGCTGTTGCTCGGGCGTGCGTGGTATCCTTCGGCGGGAGATCGTGCCAGGGTTTCTGGATCCCGCTTGGACGCGCCAAGCCAATGCTGTTGACCTGATGCACATGATCGAAGGCGGCTCCTTTGGCCTCAAGGTTCCCCCCATGCGGAGGCCGCACCAACTTCGTGCGCGATTCGCGGATGAGTCTCGTCTGGTCGACGCCCTCCCGCCAGGGATGTCCGTTGAGCGTGCCAGAGAGTTGAAGCGTCTTATCAAATTGTGCGGAGGGCAGTAAGCTGTTGTCTCTGAAGCTACGAGGTCTGTGAGTGAGTCCTTCCTCATCTCCTCTGCTTGGCTTCCTCTCCCGCTTGCATTCGCATTTTTGTATGTGCACGTGGGCTTCGTGTGGCACTCGTTGATCGTTGCAGTCCTTTTTTCTTCAGCTCGATCTTCAGTGCAGCTTCGCTGCTTCTGCATGCCTCTCGGCACCGCCCGCCCTCGTGGCCCTGGGGCCTAGGCGCCCCCGTTGGCCCTGGCGGCCTGCCCTCGGGGAGGCCCGAAGCGGCCCCTCGTGAGGGCGTGCTGGAGGTTGGCCCGAAGCGGCCCCTCGGGGAGGGCGGCCTAAGCGGCCCCTCCCGCTGGCCCTGGAGGCTCCCGTGAGAGCCTCGGGCTCGGACCTCTTTGGTCCTTTTTTCCTGCCTTTAGAGGCCCCGCCACCCACCCACCCACAAAGGAGCAAGGCATACCCCAAATGAGCACGGCAGTCCACGCGTTCGCACGGCAGACCGCACAGGAGCACGGCAGACCGCACATGAGCACGGCAGACCAAGAAGGAGCACGGCAGACCACACAGGAGCACGGCAGACCACACAGGAGCACGGCAGACCACACAGGACACGGCAGACCCCACGGGAGCACGGCAGACCACACAGGAGCACGGCAAACCACACAAGAGCACGGCAGACCATACAGGAGCACGCCAGACCACACAGGAGCACGGCAGACCACACGTTCGCACGGCAAACTCCACAGGAGCACGGCAGACCCCAAAGGAGCACGGCAGACCACAGGAGCACGGCAGACCGTCTTCGAGGCCTCTTGGGCCGTCTTGGGGCCCTCTTGGAGCCATCTTAGCCGTCTTGGAGGCCATCTTGGCCGTCTTGGAAGACATCTTGGGCGTCTTGGAGGCCTCTTGCGCCGTGTTAGGGCCCTCTTGGGACCGTCTTGGGGACTTCTTGGGCCGTTTCGGGGCCATCTTGAAGGCCTCTTGGGCGATCTTAAAGCGATCTTGGGGGCCTCTTGGGCCGTCTTGGGCCGTCGGAGCGCGGCAGGCCATCATTTAGTCTGTTCTGTTGCGTTTATGGGTTTCTCTGACGTTCTCGCCAATACGGTCTCTGACGCACGTGGTGGATAAAAAACGGCGCTTCCCGTTCTTGTCCGGTCAGGTTTGCAAGTTGCAGGTTGTTAGTTTTAGAACAGGCTGACGCGAACACCTCATCATGAACAGAAGTCGCACACCGTCATTGTAGCTGTCGCGTGCTTTTCGGACGAATCTGCGCGGTGCTATGAGGCGACATCCCCATTCTGAAGTGGATCAGCCCTGCCTCATTGATATTGTTGCAAGCTTGTAGGACGAGTGTGCGCGGCGCCAAGGCGAGAGCTCCATTAAGAAAACGAGCTGTCCTCCATCCTTGAAGCTGCTGCAATACAGCGAATGTGCGCTGCGGTCTGGCGAGGGTACCATTTTGACAGCGACCCGGACGCCATCTTTGAAGTTGTCGCAAATTCAGAACACGAGTTTGCTCGGCACCATGGCGACAACTCCGTTTTGAAAGCGATCCCTCTTCATCCGTGAAGTTGTGAGACTGTTTGTTTGCAGTCTCCGGGGGTAACACGTGTTACCCGTCCTCATGTCACATGTCCTCATCCTCTCTCGCCCCCGTAACGGTAACGCTTGGGAGCTGGCCACAGGCGTGAGTCCTTGCAGTTTCCATCGGACTGGGCATCCCCATGAGGAGGAGGAGGAGGAGGAGGAGGAGGAGGAGGAGGAGGAGGAGGAGGTGAAGGAGGAGGGGGGGATGAGGAGGAGGAGGAGGAGCAGGAGGAGGAGCAGGAGGAGGAGGAGGAGGAGGGGAGGCGAGTAGGAGGAGAAGGACGATGACGACGACCGACGTGGCGCGGAGACTCCTGTATGTGCACAGGTATTGTCGTCGTTGTCGTCGTCGTCACCGTCGTCGTCGTCGGCGTCGTCGTCTCCATCATTCTAGTCGTCGTCGTCGTCGTCGTCGTCGTCGTCGTCGTCGTCGTCGTCGTCGTCGTTGTCGTCACCGTCGTCGTCGTCGTCGTCGTCGTCATCGTCGTCTCCGAAGCGTTCCTCTCGTCGTCCTCGTCTTCTTCACTGTATTGCTAGGTTCTTTACGCATCTGCTGTGGCGTCTACAGGCGCTGTGCTGTGGTATGCACAAGCGCTCTGGTGTACGCAGGCGCTGTGGTGTAAGGCCACGGCGTGGCGCACACGGCTGGTGTCATGTGCACAGCCGCCGTGGTGTACAAAAATTGTCCAGTGCACGCAGGTACTGTGGTGTGCACTAGCATTTTTGCGCACGCGTGTGTTGAGGACGATGTGGCGCCATGGTGCGCGCGGGTGCTAGGGGGAACGGAGACACCGTGGTGTACACAGGCGCTGTGGTGCATACAGGCGTTGTCGAAAACACACCCATGTTGCTCCGGTGTTGCTGGCGCGCCTTCGGAGGTTCACGTCCCCCCCCGTCAACCCCAATTCCCTCCCATCGGGTAACACGTCTTACGCCCAATAGTTCAAGGAACGATCTTTGCTACAAACATGTAAGCTGAATGTGCGCGGCGTTGAGAGGCGAAGCTCCATTTTGATTACAGCCCGCCTTCCATTCCTGGTCCAGCTGCTGGAAATCTTTAGCTTCAGGATCATACATGATGAGGAAGTCTCCGGCGGAACGCCTGCCCGTTCTACCCACGCGTCTGGGTGCGCAGGTGGGAGGAGTTGCTTGTGAGGGACATGAGTGTCGGCGACGGAAAAGGACGGGGAGGAGGCAGGACGGTCCGTGGGAGGGAGGGTGGGCGGGGAGAGGAGTCGTGGAGTCATGGGATCCAGGAATCCTCCTGCTCCCTCCTCCCTCCTCCCTCCTCCTCCCTCCTCCTGCCCCCTCCTCCCTCCTCCCTCCTCCTCCCTCCTCCCCCTCCTCCTCCTGCTCCTCCTCCTCCTCCTCCTCCTCCTGCTCTTCCTCCTCCTCCTGCTCCTCCTCCTCCTCCTCCCTCCTCCAGTGAAGCGATGTGCTCCCGAGGCAAATGGGAGGAACCGCGCACCCGCAGGCACAGTGCACACGAGGCGGGCAGGGGACAAGGCGAACGCCTCGCCGCCCCGCGACTCGCTGCCCACATGCGATGGCATGGCTCGTGTGGGGGACGGTCGGGTCGCCTCCTCACAGCGAAGAAGAAAACGCGGCACACATGTAACATAAACTGTTGGCGCTCCGCGCGGATCTCTTGGATCCGCGCGGGGGCTCCCCCGGCGGCGCCTCCAGCGCCGGCCCTGGCGCGTTCCGCGCGCCAGGGGGGGGGGGTCCGGCGCGGATCCGAGAAGTCCGCGCGGAGCGCCACATGTTTACGATTGCGGCGCTTTTTTGTCCCTTCTTCTGTCACAGCGGAGGTACTCCCCGACCGTCGCCCCAGCCGAATCGGCCGGCACGCGCAGGTGGGTCTTTCGGCACCCGGCGGCGAGCGGGCACGAAGGCCGCCCATGGGCCCCGCGGGCCCCACCGAGTGCGCACTTCGTCTCGTGCCTGACAAGGCAGCGCGGGGCATGGCCCAATGTCAGGAGGAAAAGAAGCACACAGACACAATTAATCCTTGATTCCCCAGAAAATAGGGGAAAATATGGGAAGTGGGGGGTAAGACAGAAACCCAGAAAATATAGGAAAATATGGGGAATCTGTTTATTTGTGTGTACTTATTTGTGTGTCCTTGGGCCCCTCAAATGCCTCGTGCCTGACAAGGCAGCGCGGGGCACGGCCCAATGGCGCGAGCGTCGCGGGCGCAGCTGGGAGCCGAGGCTCCGGGCAAGGTGCCACGGAGGCGTCAGAGCGGCGCGAGCCAGCGCGTTTGCCCCCCCGCCGTGCTGCGCGGTTGCCTGTGACCGTGTCCCCGCGGCGTGGGGTCGAGCACCAGGACGCGGCACCCGGCAGAGCAGCAGTTCCCCCCCGCCGCGGGATGCGTGGGAGGAGGAGGAGGAGGAAGATCAGGAGCCCGAGTATGAGAAGGGAAAGCCGGCGTGAAGCCAAGGTGCAGCAACGCCGCTGCAGGACGCCCTCCCATTGCGAGGCCCCTTCCTGAGAGCCCTACAAGCCTCCCTGCCCACTTTCGGGAGACTCTTCATGGGGGGGGGATCCCATGGGGGGATAGGATCCCAGGGGGGGGATCCCATAGGATCCCCTGGGGATCCCATGGGGGGGATCCCCGCCTGCCCCCCCATGGGATCCCCCCCCATGGAGAGTCTCCCGAAAGACAGGGCAGCACCTTGGCGGGCCTGCCGTTCAGGCGAGAGAGCGCCGTTCCGACGCCGAGCCAGCTGCCCGGCATCCCTCCAGCGAAGGAACGCGCCGTGCAGGCCGAGGAGGTACACCTTAGGCGATGCTTAAGAAAACCCAAGTTTTCGGCCAGAGTCCCGATTATTCTTAACGTTTCAATGTAAACCTTAAGATTTTGATAGGAATGTTGGGTCTTTACTCAAGTTCTGAGACTATGAATTTCTTAACCCATGATTTCTTAAGCATTTCGCGGGGTGTACAAGCCTCCCTGCCCACTTCAAGAGGTCCAGGAGCGCCACCTCGACAGAGCAGCACCTTGGTGGGCCTGCCGCTCAGGCGAGAGAGCGCCGTTCTGACGCCGAGCGGGCTGCCCGGCACCCCTCCAGCGAGGGAGCGCGCCGTGCAGGCCGAGGGGGTATCCATCGGAGGGCACCAACTATACACCAACACCGATCCTGGCCCAGGATCACCCTGGGCCCAGGATCGGTGTATATGCCTTCTTGCGCAAGGCAGGAGGGCGTATACACCGATCCTGGGCCCAGGGTGATCCTGGCCAGGATCGGTGTTGGTGTATAGTTGGTGCCTTCCTAATCCAGCGAGATGCCCGTCTTGAGCATGGGCCGGCCCCGTGGGCAGGCCCCATCCGTGCAATTCGGCCACGAGCTGCTTGGCCATGCAGCGCGGAAAAAAAGCCTCACGCGAGAGCCTCGGCTCGACGAGGAGCTGCCCTCCATCCGTGCATCGTAGGTTTCCGGTCTTTCAACATGCAGTGGAGACCCATACCACGAAACACCCTGCTTACCTCCAGGGTGCCCTGGGTTTCTTGGGTTTCGGTGGGTTTGCTTGAGAAGCGTGACGTTCCCACGCCAAAAACCAATGGACGTCCTGGGGTTTCAGGGTTGGTTTTCTGGTGGAAGGTTTCTTGTGGAATGGTCCCGGCTGCACCAGGGTCTCAAGCGAATGCCCAGGTATTCAACGGAACCGCCCATCATCCGCGCAGCTGCGTCACATGTTCGAGCTTTCGGCCTTCAGACGTCGAACGGTCTCGAGCACCAGCCCCACTTGGAGAAACGGGAGCCCCCCTCCTCTCACAGGAGCGAGAAGTAGTGATAATGGTACGCCCCAAATGAGTGAAGACCTTATGATCTAGGCCTCCTAGATGAGGTCGGAGTAGATGGGGCTTGAGGATCGCGCCGCATCACCGATGCATCGGCGATGCGTCTCGATGTGAGCCCAACTTTCCCGACGCCGACGTCGCCGATGCATCGCCGACGTCGCCAGTGCATCGCCGATGCGTTGCCGATGCATCGGCGATGCATCGCCGATGTATCGGCGATGCGGCGAGATCTTCCGACCCCATCTACTCCGCCCCCATTCCAGGAGGCCTCTATATGACTGGCCCCGCCGACCCTGAAGGCGGGACCTCCTCGGGGCCCCCCGCCGGCGCTCTCTCCTGGGGCCCGCCAGGGGCCGCCCGGGACGCGCGGCCGCGCCGCCGAGCCCTGCAGACGATCCTGGGCGGCGCGAAGGCGAGGACCGTTTTCGAACAGGAGTCGCCCTTCGTCCGTGGACCGGCTGCTTACCAGCCTGGAACGTATCCCTATCCCTGATCGGGGGCGGAAAAGAGGGGGGTGATGACTAGGGGGGGGTGGATATCATGGCGCGGGCCATGATATTTCCACAGATTTTATGGCGCCTTTTCTTGTTTCATTACGTCCCTGGCCCCCCCGCTGGGCCGCGCACATGCCGCCGGTCATGATTTGCACCCCCCCCTCTTGGACACCCCCCTCTTGGCCGCTCCCGACCTGAGCTGGGCATCGCCTCGTCACGGTGCCAAACTCAGGGGTTCCTGTGGTTTTTCAGGGCGCAGCCCCAAGGTTGTCATCGCCTCTTGGCGTGTCAATCTTAGGGATAGGGATAAGTTCGAGGCTGGTGAGTTGCAGACTTTCAATGCGAATGCGCGCGGCGTTGGTGCGACCACCCCCCGTTTTGGGAGAACGGCCGGGCCTCCCTCCGCGAGGCTGCGGCAGGGTTCCACGATGGCCGCGCACGGCCGAGGCGAGAGCCACAGCTTGGAAGCCGCCCGCGCCCATCTTCGAACAGGATGCACGTTTCGAACACGAATATATGCGCGGCGTAGGGTAATAACGATAACCATTCTTACAACGGCCCCCATTCCTCCTTGAACGTGTTGCACATGTCGAGCTTCAGGGGTTCATATATGATGAGGACGTCTCTGGCGAAAAACGCCTGGCCCACCCCGCCGACACGTGTGGGGGCGCGGCAGATGGGGGAGTAGTTCGCAAGGAAAAGGGACTGAAGAGGGAGAGGATGAGAAGGATGAGAAGAGGGAGAGGGGGAAAAAGGGAAAAAGGAGGAACGGATGCGGAGGAGGAGGAGGAGGAGGAGGAGGAGGAAGAGGAGGAGGAGGAGGAGGAGGAGG